TTGATCCCAAACGGATCGTCCAAGAAATGCCGACTGGAGCCGAAAATGATATCTGGTATTGCGGTCCCGGTAGTGACTGTTTTGATTCGAAGCTAAGATGGCTTGTAACAAGTTATTAGCGAGCTTTCTTGGATTCAAAAGTTTTTCATTGTGCTAAATTGCACCGAGAAATGGGTAAAAGAATATTTTGATTGCGATAGCATACTAGCCAGTGTTTTCGACCAGAGTAATGAAAATTACCTTGATAAAATCCCTACATGCCGTCAAAGACCTTTTGAAGTTGTACTTCTTATCTAGATCTTTTAATTTTTATGAAACCGATGGATATCCTTGGCTAAGAGGACCACGTTTAGGGTTCCATGCGCCAGCTTGTGTATGTAAATCGCAAAAACTTGGTATTCAGTTTGCAAAAGTCAGTTAGCAACAGTTTGTAGGATAACTAGAATTTTATTACTGACAGAGACAAAGGAGACGGGAAAGGCCATTTGGAGCTTATCAGCGGTTATCGAGCTTGAGAGCGCCTGAAGATCAAAAGGGCTTTTTGGTTACCAGGCCCTAGTAAATCCAATGCTCTAACTATTGATCAACGGGCTCGTTGTCCCATCAGTTGCGCTCAGAAGTGCTAACTACGTTGAAAGTGTGTTTACAGATCAGTTTGCGACATATTTGTCCCGTCGCGTTTTGGGGCTTTATCTACAACCCCACAGACGGTCACACAGCTTTAATAGATCATAAATAACCATTCCAGTATCTCTTATCTTATTTTATTTTGCCCATACTAAATACTTTTTGGGATTGCCTGTGGACCGAAAATCAAGTCTCAAAGCAAAACGGGACGAATGTGTCCCGTAATTTGATCGATGAACGTATTTCCAACCTATATAACATATTCGTCCATGGCATTTTCAGTGAGTCACTATTATATTTAAACCACTGAGATCTCTTCACTAATGATGTTGAAAATAATCTACACGGAGCTGAGCGAAAGGCCTATATATAACTAGTGGTTTCGCGAAAGCTATTTTAACTTAGGTTCGAATTTTAGATATACTTTCAAACATAAGTTCCTCTTTTCTTGCGTGTGTTCCAACCTATTGTGTCATAAATCCTTGGTCAGCAAAAGTTTGATAGTATTGCTCTATGTTGTGAAATTTCTGTCCTCTGGGTTTTTTCAGTGTGAAATAGAACAATCTCCCTTCGCCTTTGAGGGGCGCTGTCAGCTGCGTCCTAGATATCGACTTTTTTCCTGGCCAGGTTTTTGTCGTGGGTCAGGGGGTGTAGTACGCCTAGGTTCGGGTCCGGTCATGCCAACCACCTGCGCCCTCTCCTGCCTCCGGTCTTCCTGACTATGTCTTGACGCCGGGTCAAGGTGGGGAGAAGGAAATCGTGCGGTAGATGCTGCGCAAGTCAACTCTCTCTATAAATTAACCCACATGCGAGTCATCGTGACTGCTTTACCTTGCTGTGGAGCACACATCGTCGGTTGCGGCGGTCAACCTGTCCACAGTCGCTTAGAGGGAGCTAAGCATTTCTTTTCTGACGTTTTAACTTCACAAATGAGCTTTTCGCTTCACAGAATTGACCTATAGATTTGCCTTAACAATCGTGTCACCACTATTTTTCTCCTTATTTCGTTAAGCACAACAAACCCGGATTTGATAAGCACAATATCAAAATAAAAACCTTTTTAAGTTATCTTTTGCAATTGCACAAAAATTCCACCTTCAAAAAAGGTAACAATTTTTAAAATTTTTCCATTACACAGCTCTCAGAGCTAGTCTAACGAACATTCAGACTGCCGTGTGCATAGCAAGCGTTTCGGTTTGTTACTCTGACAAAAAATAAATGTCAACATGGAAGAACCACCAGATTGCGTCTCCCCTCGTTTTGTGCTTTCGAAATTCTGAGAGTTTTGCCAACTGGCCGGTTTTTAATGTACGAAGCGATATCTCGAAAAGTTGTAGTGTTATATGTTGCTGGTAACCTCGCAAATGAGTAAAAGTCAAGCATTTATTGTTAATAGGACACCTTCTAAAGTCATTTGTAGCCCCTTATTGGATGAAAATATACTAGATTGTAAAAACCTCAGTGCGAAAAAATTGAAAATTGTCCCGTCAGACTTGCTGATGTTTGCTCCCCCCTTTTAAGGAGCTTCTTGCAAGTTAACAGTCGCGTTCGGTCTGCGGGGGGGGGTCAGAGGCGCTATAAGCATCTTCTGTTGTGAAAAGGAATAATCGATCGACGACTCGCTATCTTTGGATGAGGCGAAACACCTGCCCACCCGGCCAATTAAATGAGGAATCGGAAATTAATGAGGCTTTATCCTGGAGAAACTGGTCGACTCTGAACAATGAGTGAATGCGATAAGTCCTTTGAGTACTCTGTCGATTAAAGAACAAAGTTTGACGCAGCAATGGGCTCTTATGACTATAGAAACAGCATTCATACCAAATTATAGACTTGCCATCTTTGCGCATGGACAAATTGGCTGGGTTTTGCAACTTTCATGGCCCTGCTTGCTCCCATCTAGCGTTTTATTTTGAGGCCCTAATCTCTTCTTTCTCTTGACCTTACCAATCCGAACTTCTGATTTCGCAATCATTCAAATAATACTACTTCTGATTTGAAGCTTGACAGCTGCTTCTAAGAAATTTTTAATACGGTTCCCGACAGCTAAACACCTCAATTTCTCCCGACGAAAACACACTCTAATGCATACAAATTGGGCAACTTTTGGGGATGTTTGCCTGACAAAGAATTAACTTGAATGACTGTTTGCCAATCTAAATGAGCAGAGTTAGTACTAGGTGACGCGACCAGAATCTATGAACAGAACGCAGAGTTTTAACGCTGCCCAGGGCAATACAGTAAATTTTTGCTTACGAGAAATTTCCTAGACATTTTGGCAGATTTTAAATAATTTATATTGACTCAACTGTGAAAAACTCGGCGCCTCGGTGGGAAATTTGCAAATGCAAACTAGGCCGCACAGACGCGATGAGGCTGCGATTCATCTGCGCAGTTATCCGTCTGTTAGCAAGGAATCAGCATATTGTTAACATATGCTTTCTTTATGCTCGGTATTTGAAAGTAGTCACTTTGTGATCGAAGTTCTTCAGAATTACGTCAATTGGTTGCAAGTTTTGTTGGTTCTGAGAAATATCTGTCTAAATGTTCACTTTTGCGACTGAAATACCTAGATCTTATGAAACAGCAACCGTTACGGAACTTCATTATTCGCACTCCCTTACTAAAGGAGCATTTTTTACAATCTATCAAATTGCTCACTTTTCCTGTAGAAAAGTGATTATTATTGTGGGGACTTAAAGAACAAGTAAAAGGCGCAAACCTAGTATCTATGCGAATTTGAACAATTCAGGGAATGCACTTGGTGGGGTTCAAGGTCTTTTTAGACTGCTAAAAAGTAGTACGTTTTTCGAAAACATATTATTAATTATAATGTTGATAATAATTTTGACTCTGAATTATAACCCTTTTGGTGTGGTTGTATCGTGTAAAAGGCACTATGACATTCTAAGGTGTGTTTTTTGACGACATAAGCTAAGAAATTAAGGAGGAGATATTTATTTTAAGCGTCAGATTATCGCATTAACGTCTCATTTCAAAACGTCATGTCTTTGTGCAGGCCGGCAGGAATAGAGCTCGGCAGCCATCGAGACACCTGGTAGAGTTCTCAGCAGAAGTCCTTAAAAGGGTTAAATTTATCAGTACGCCTATAGTTCTGGGTTTTTTATACAAATAAATACCGTTGGAAGGTTAAAATGACAAACAGAGGTCCTCATAAAAGCTTTGTCCCATCTACAGACATAAGCGCCTGATCCAGATTAGTTTTCACATATACATGAGAAGCGTAACAAAAAGCTTCATGCTTATTTAGGAATGGTGATAAAAATCATCAGATGTTTGTGAGTGCAGCATGAAGCTTGAGCAAAGTTCGGAAAACTTTTAAGAGTAGTAAAGGAAGTATTTAGCGAAAAATAATTTACAAAGTCGTCATTTACCGATACATCCAAAGTACATAAGGAAAGCCTGGATTAAATTTGGAAATTTTATGAAAATGTATCTAAGCGTTTATGTTTAGGTTCTTGCCTACATCTAGCACTTTCTATTTACCAGGACGTGCATATGAAGTAGTAGTGTTTTGATATAATTTAACTAAAAGCAGTTGACAGCGAACAGACTTGCTTTTTTCTGTTCCTATCGAAACCCTTGCAAAATGCCCTGATAATTTTGTTGCGTCTTCTAGAATAATGCTCTTTGGTACCCATTACAGGAACTCGACTGGACTACTAATTTGAAATATTTAGGAAATTTCAGTATTTTTGAAGTTATTCTGGCTCATTGCAGCCCATGCATGCTATCGCTTTTAAATTCTACCATTACTTCCAAGTTTTCAATACTCCATCGCGAGGAACGAAGCGAGTTTTATTTTCAAAAAGACCTTTTAGCTTGTTTCAATGATAGGCTTTCTTAAAGCTGTTTAAAGATCGTATGCATGCCTGAAATTTTACTGGAGTTTTAACAGACCAACGTTGGACAACCATAAATCAAAGCCATTTCCAAGCCTCGGACAGTGAACTTATCAAAAGCTTTATTCTCATAAGTAACCTCACTAGGAAAACGTCATTGGCATTCCAGTTTTGATTTTGACCAAAACCACGAAACAACTCAGTATGTCGAATAAAGGTTGTAAAAATGTCATGTTTGGTTCGGGACTTCTAGCTTTATTGATTGATTTCTTTGTTGAATATTCAGTCTAAATCGTTGGCCACAGATTTCTCACTTTCTTCGTGGATAGTACGTCAGATCTTAGGTTTGGAATGAATAACGGTATATATACACATTTATGGGCAGAATGGTATTACCGACAGATACAAGGAAGACCGGAATGGCTATTCCTGGCTTGTTAGCCGTCATCAGCCAGTCATACCCAATCCCAAGTGTGGATCACTTGAGATTCGAACCCGGGATCTTTGATCATGGAGTTTGACACTAGTCGCTGTGCGACTGCCCGCGAGGGTCCAAGTATGATCCCCAAGGCACAGCAGCACTATCACGTTCTGTAACCTGATCGGTGAGTGCCCATTTGTCATAATTGATATTTCCGATCACAATCGACAGGACAGCGGGCCCGTGGCTCAATGGTAGAGTGTCGAACTTCATGACCAAAAATCCCGGGTTCGAATCTCAAGTGATTCACACTTGGGGTTGAGTATGACTGGCTGATGACGGCTCATAAACCAGAAATGACCATTCCAGTCTCCCATGTCTTTGTCGGCATCGTCTTATCTACATGTATCACTAGTCACTGTACGACTGCCCGCGAGAGTTCAAGTATGAGCCCCAAGGCACAACAGAACGAGCACGTTCTGTAGCCTGATCGGTGAACGTCCATCTGTCATAATATATGTATAGATTAACTATGGTAGAGGACGTTCACTGAACACATTACGGAACCTACTAGTCCCGTTGTGTTTAAAGGCTCGATCTAAAGCTCCGCAGATAACCGCACAGTGGCCAATAGTACAGACAGGATAAAGTTACTGACAAAGACATGGGAAACTGGAATGACCATTTCTAGCTTACTAGTTGTCATCGGTCAGTCGTATCTAACCCTAGGCTTTCAGTCGCTGAGGCCCAAACTCAATTTCAGTTGGTTAGAAACCAACGATCTAACCATTAAGCCACGAGCTTGTTCTTTGTTAGTTTTGATAGTATGCATGTATTTATATATAAACCAGGGGATATTTGAAAAGACCGTCATCGGAAAAACAGAGGAGTACCTTACTGGTTTTATCCTCAGCGATAGACTGGACATTTGAACACGAAATACTGCCTAAGTATGAGCTTATTTCTGCTGCAGAAGATATTTTTGTCATAGTAGGTTGCTTGAATTTCAAAGAGCGAGAGCATTGGTTTGAGGCCTTTTACATGCTGTCCATATATAGTCTCACTGAGTTCTTTACTAAACTCTGAGAAGTTTTCAGAAGCATGCCTGTCGAAAAGAATTTTAACACGTCCAGTCTAAAGATAGCAAGCAAGTTTTGACTGTCATTTGAGACAAGCGTAAAAAATCTAGTTTTATTTGACCTCTATCTAAATATAACGAAACACTAACAGTAAATTACTTCATTCGAGAATAAGAGATGAATGCTGTCATAGGAAGCTTACTTGGTTTTTTCGTTATTCAAATGTATAAGAAAAGGACTGAAGTTCTTTCATTGCACGTTTCATATTTAAATGAAGAAAATAGATATTACCGAACATATATTATGTGGCCAGTGACTTTGGAAAAACGCAAGAAAACTTATTTCTTGCAACATAATGCAAATGTTTTTTATATATTTGACAGCGATCGCACTCTATTCTGATCTATGTGTGGCCAAAGCATTCGCACCTTTCAGACGGTAACTTGTCAAACATCGGAAATATGTTAACGTTGTAACGCAGGGTAAAAGCAAAGCCATTGCGAGCTTTTAACACGTTCCTAAAATGAAAACCTGTGCGCAGATATAGAGCAAAAAATCTGTCTTCCATCTGCTTTGGCTGAATGAGAAACTGATTTGTTCAAAGCAAACAATCGCTACATAAAAAGGACTGTTCAAAGAACTCTGCTTGTAGATTTAACGACGTTACCGACATCGACTCAAATTGCCCCTGCACCACTTAAATATTGAGAACTGACGCAACTTGTGTCTGCTGTGAAAAAAAGAGATGAACTACATCATCAGAACTTTTTAAGATGTGGATTTTGCTAACAACTGGTAGTCTAGTTAAAATACCAATGTACTATTTCAATAACGTTTTACTGCGGCCTGCAAACTAATGCATACCGGAACTAACCTTGCACGAGCATCAAGTATGAGGACAGCAAATTACGTCTAAACTAATCTTGAAGGATTTTTACCATGCGTTTGTTTCAAAATGATCGAAATTGTTCGTAAAAGCGGTCTTTTTCCGTTCGATGAGTGGAACCAAAACTACTAATTTGTAATTGATTTCTAGACACCAAGAGGCTTTATTTTACTTTTAGTAAAAGCTTAGGCAAATATTGATTCACATAGGATAAAGCTAACGGGACTGAAATAATTATTTTTGACTTATTTCATGTCTGACAATGGCGAAAGAGCCAAGACTTAATAGACAGATTTCTCTCATCTTTTTCGGCAACTGGCAAATCGGAACATCTGTATCATTCACTGCAAATAGGATGTGTCGGTAAAAGCCAGGCCCATGTTGCAAGTGTTTCTTGTTTCGGAACCGCACTAACTGCTTGTTTAAAATGACGGAGAGCTGTTAGGCCTATTTTCGAGCCCTAATTCGCAAATATTTTAATCAGAAATGATTGGGGTTATTTAATCAGAACGTGCTTATGTTGCGAGCTACTCAAACCCAAACTACAATAGTGTGAGATATTATATAAAATTTCCGACAGTTTCTCCACATTGAATGCCCAAATGTCTAGTGTTGAAATGACAACTGAGAAAAAGTCTTACAGTCATTTTTCGTTACGGACACGCTTAATTTGTCGCATACACTATCTGCTTGCCTTCAGACAGCATTTACGGATTTAGCACTACATCCTAATGGGAAACCATTACTCACTTAACTGTCCTAATAAAAAGAGGTTCTGAATGGATGTCATACTTTCAAAGTAAGCATGCGGACGCAATATCTCGTAAACTGCATAAGCCCCTTCGTCACCTTTTTGAGGGTTGTTGTGCAAACTCCGTCATATAACAGAAAATGTTTGGGCACAATGCAAGTAAGCTCGATTTGGTAAGAAAATAGTTTATATTTCCTTGTGGATTAAGGCGACATTACAGCACCTTCAGGCAAGAAATCTTCGTCTAGCTGCTTTAGTAAATACGTGAACGGGTATTTGTAGCAGCATTGCCATAGGAGACAAACGCACATCCGACAACATTCCTTTTTACACGCATGCGCATAAACGGACTTTTACCTGTTAAGCCTGATCTCCCATCAGTAGCCTTCAACAGAAAATGTCCAAAAAACGTCTCGGTTTTCAGGCCTAAAGCATCACTATTCCCCATGAGCGTGACTTGCTAATTGTGGAAAATAAGTGTTAGCGCGGTTCATTAAGTAAGACCACGAAAACAATTATAATGATGCTGCTGCTGCTGATGATGATGATGATGATGATGATGATGATGATGATGATGATGATGATGATGATGATGATGATGATGATGATGATGATGATGATGATGATGATGATGATGATGATGATGATGATGATGATGATGATGATGATGATGAACATTAAGTAGTGCGTCGGTATCACTCTTCTGCATGTACTTTTACTTGCCGCACAACTGCCCGCGAGAGCTCTGCATTGGGCCCTAAGGCACAGCTTGACAAGAAGATCCCATAAACCGGTCGAAGAACGCAATTTCAATCTACACGTGTTGATATGAGGGTACTGACATAGGCAAGGGGGACTGGAATGGTTATTTCCGACGTATTAGCCGTTATCAACTAGAAACGGCCAACCTCAGGTCTGCAGAACCTTAAGTTCGGATCCACGTTTATTCTTTATTGAGCATTAGTAGGTCCGACTATCTATCGTTGAACCACGAGCTCCCTTCCGTATGCGTTGTGGTGGGAAATATCAACCACGGTAGAAAGGCGTTTACTGGTCAGATTACGCACTTCCACCATGAGACTACGGTGTTATAGTGCGAAATATAAACAAAGCTTGTGTCAAAGCCCGTGAAGCCTTGACTATTTTGATTCGATATACTTTCAAATTAAGAGACTGTTTGACCGAGGTTGCAAAACAAACAGACACGACATACAACTCCAATTGAATTCTTGAGTCTGTATTTTTACAGTAAGTAGTATAAATTGCAGTTTTAAATAAGCATCGAGTGTTTTTTCACTTATTTTCAGTAAATGTATAAGCTCAATTATAGAAAGAATCAGGAAAATCAGTTCTTGCGCCCACTTTTAAAATCTTCGGTCAGATGTGGTTATGTAGTCGCACCTGAGGTAAACCAACCCCAGCCGCCTGTCATACGGGACTGAGGGTAATAGGAGGTTTAGCACTAGCTCCCAACCCCTAACCCTAACCCCCAAATCTAGCCCCTAACGGTATTATGTCCATAAGGTGCGGCTGCATAACCGTATTTTACTAAATTTTCTCATAGACGAGGCGACTTATCTTATTACAACGCCTTTTAAAATAGTCACATGTTTTTCGGTCTGTCCAATCAATCCCAGGTGTGTCGTTACTGATCACAAAGTGCGTAATGTGAATTTCACCCACCGTTTATTTTGTAAGCAATAACAACTTTTTACATATGCCTGTGCAGTCATGAAACTTGTTCAAAGAAGCGACTCAGGTAAGGCAAATGACTGAGTATTAAGTCCTGCTGGAACAAGGGGTTAGATCCATCGAACATCTTAAGAAGCAGTCAGATAAAAGCGGAAACCATGTACAGAATCCAATTGAAAGTGTGCCCAGAATTTTAGATTGTTCTGTACATAGCAAAATTGGTTTTTATGCAAATTCGCAAAAAAACATGGTTTGTAACAATGCTCCTTCATTGAAACTTTGGAATTTATGAGACGCCGTTCAAATGTTGCATTTAATTTTGGACAATAAAATATTATTTACCCATATGACTTATTCCAAATATCCCTTTATTTACTTCAAAGGCCATAATAAAAGCCGTTAGATAAACAGTAGGCAGTACACTTACCTTTTTTCTATTGAAGAAAATGTTTGTGTGTCATCATAAAATAGTTTTGCATTGTGTAATTCTACTCGGACATCAGACTTTAAAATCAGCGCGTCCATTGGTCATTCATGTCCGCCAATGAACAGGGGCAGAGTATGGGTGAACTGTGTCTCAGTCTAGATGCAAAACCCAGGGATCAATCTGTTTATCCGAAATGTTTCTTCAAAAAGGTTTAAAAGAGGGCTAAATTTATTGGTTTCTTCATTCACTACATCAGAAATATGGGCATACACTTCAAACGCGTTTGAAAGCAGAGGGTTCGGTCTATTTGCCTTATTTTTTTCATCTTTGAAAATATAAAGTGGCCATTAAGTATGTAGTAGAGGTTAAAATGCTTTGTTACTTGTGAAAGGACGGAATAATGGAAGGACACTGTTGGGTACTGCAATGCAAGTTTTTACTGACGCATGTACTGCTGATGAGCATTACATGTACTGCGCCATCTACTGCAGAATGTTCAAAATACAACACTTGAGCGTCCGCTCAATACAAACGACGCTTGTTTATGCCAAAGTAGCACGCAGGCGATACTATATCGACTATTTTGACCAAAACGAGAAATTCAGATTAGGATTATTTTTCACCTTCATTGCGATATTTTATTGCATTTTTAGTCAGTAAAAAGAGGGAAATGCAGATTCCACATATTTTGCCTTCATATATTTCTTATCTGTTGATTGGAACAAAACCCAGTCACGAGATCCAGTTTGGTTAAAACAATGCAACAGTATAATACTTGAGAAAGGAGTTCCAAGATTAAGTTTTAATTCTTCTAGACAGTCAAAACATGGTCCATCCAATTATTTTTCAATGATAAATGTGTTATTATTACGAAACCCTCCTCTCGCATGAGAGAAGGAATAAACATTTTCATTAATACTTGAAAAATTACGTTCTCCTCAGTGTAAACTAGAGACAAGCGGAACACTGTCCTGTGTGCAGAGAAAAGAGATACAATTCAACAAAAATAAACGTTGGGAGTACAAAGGCTGGGTGCGAGAATAGGGGCATCATCTTATTACAGGCGTTTTATCCTAAATTCTAAGGAAATTAACGCTAGAATTATAAGAGGTACAAATAGCGTTAGGACTGGGAAGGTTAGAGTTGGTGTAAGAGCTATGGTCAGAGTTAAAATTAGCGCATGGGGAATAAGTACTCCCCGGGATTTAGAACGAGGTCACTTGTAGAACAGAAGTCCATATTTCTGTATTTCGAATAAACTCTTGTGGTCCGAACCAAGTTTATAAAGTTAACAAATGTTTAAAGTAAATTCACGTGCGAGTAAATGCGCATGTTTCGCAACGCTTTCGTAACTTTTACTATTATGCACGTCAAGGTTTCGGCCAAATAAAAATAACTCGATAAAAACAGATGGGCATGGAAAATAAAAAATAGAAATGTCCAGCCTACATTCGACCAGTAGAATAGTACACTCATTCAGGGATCTATAAACTGCTTTCAATAATCTGCACTTAGTATTGGGGGTACTTGAGCTTTGTGGAACAACTGTTTATTTCCTGTCGTGCTTTCTTAAATTGAACTGCATACGTAGCAAAAACTATTCTTTGAAGTACATTTATCCCTTCTAGTCTCAAGAAGACTGAAAGAATTAAAGGGGACCTTCCTGAAACTGACAAATCATTTTTATTTACTATGCCGCTTGGAAGTCGACTTTTATTGAGTTTAACTGATAAAGAATTAGGGGTAAAGTCCGCTATTCAGCTCTTTAGAAATTCCCATAAGTTCCTGTCTATCATTGGGTAAAATAACCATTATGCAGTGTAGTCTTGAGTGCTTTTATTTAAAACGATGGGCCGCACACATTACTGATGGTTTTCCCGACAAGACTCCTCTAGCTCGTGAAGTACATATTCCTGAATTTAACATTTTTGGTCTTGCTTGTTCGATCGCGGCCTTGTAATTTCGCAGACATTAATCCGAACCTACTCCACTAGCTCGACACATTTGTTTATCAATTCCTTGGGAATGATTTTCAATCTGCATTTTCGCTTTTTAGGGTCAGGATTATTCTTTAGGGAAGTTGTGAAAAGTCCGAGTCGCTCTTCAGCCGACGCTGTCACTCTTCCGACCAGTTTACTATTTCTGTCCACTTACTAATTCAATTGAAACCGAATATAAGCATGCATGCTGTCGCCAGCAGGTCGGTGAAATTAAATTAGAGGGCAATCTCAACGATCTCGAGGCCTAGTTTTTGCCAACAGGGCAGTGGAAGGATGACATCGCCCGCCTAATCGCTGTTGCTTGATGACTTTCTCAACCGTACGAAGGGGTCCATGCGCCCATGACTATACCCCACAATGAAGCTTACATACCGGATTTACTTGCAGGTTTTTAATTGTTCGCTGCCACTGAGATAAATAGCTCAGACCACGGATTTCATTCTAACGGTAGACAGACCACATAAGTCCACCTGTGTATGCGGCGTCTTTCTCCAGTGCGAACTATAACGACTACACCGCATAATTCAGCGACAACTCAGCCTGAGTTCACGAGCACTACTGACAGCATTATCAATGCACTGTCCACCCCATATCTGCTGCTGAACCGGATGAGGACCCGTATGAATGACCCCAACGCGCAGAAATTAATGTCTAACTAACATCAACGCTGGTCAAGTGAGATACATACAGATGTATCAAACAATGACTTGATAATTAGTGCCATGATCCCTGTGAAGCATTTATCAGGTCAGCCTTGTCTGTTTCTTTCGTCATCGACCCTAGTATGTGACGTTTCACTCACCCCTGGGCAGTCCGCAACATACCATGCCTATTTTTATAGCCAGGACAGATATTCGAATCGCATTTGGTGTTTCAAATAAGGAGGAAGGCAGAGTGTCAAACAATGAAATGGCCCGATCACTTATCTGAGACCTAGTTATAAAAGAGGAAAGTAGCATGGTAACATGCGGTAAGTACATGACATGGTAACAGATCAGACTCATAGGCCGATGTATGGGGATGACTGAGCAAGATACTTTACGTGATCGACGGCTCGACATGTCAGTTGACTAAGTTTCGCCTGGCATCTAGAGCTCAGCTCCCTCCACAGCACCTTTTGTTCCGAGACTCGTTAATAATTACCGCAGTTGTAAAACCTACAAAATAGTTTACTTTGATAGTTTGGAGTACAGTTTTTCATAACTGATCTTTCTGTTCGCGGTCAAATCGCGTTGCTCTATGGGTTACTCGAGGTTTTGATTATTATGGTAAATATCTTTATAGGCGGGTATGGTATGATATACATTCTCACATCAACTTACTCTACATCATGTACCTGGCCTTAGCTATTAAAGAAGCAGTCGTGTAGTGCAGCTTTTTTCAGCAGGAACGCATGCAACAGAACCCGAAAATGCCGTAGTTCGGAGCAAATGTAATTGCATAATTAGTGACTTTTCTAGTTGGAGCTTTCCTAGTTAGGTACTTGGGTGTTGGATTACAAACGTCTTTAATGCTTTTATCTTCAAAGCGACACGGGATTTTCCGGGCGTTTTCCGCCGTAG